TGATTTAATGGGTTTTCATAGATAATGATACGGAATCTTTTGTGTTTTTGAGTTCGACTCGCTCAGCACCTATTTTTTTTTTACTTGCGAAAGCAAAAGTAAAGCTTGATTTTACGACAAAACTGGTGGCATGGCGGCCGTGCGCTGAGATTCAAAATCGAAATAAAACTGATGAGCGTTCATTTGTTTGGTAATAATATGTATGAACAATATGGCAAACTTTAGGTACAATTTCGCCCAGCTGCGCTGTGTAAACAATTGGGCACTTTAATATAAATAGATATGCATAATTACCTTTTACAACAACAACAGTTGTCAAGCACACAGCTTAATTAAGTGTCAAATATGTAGACGTTGCACGTGCACCGACCCTTATATGCATTATTATATGTTTATGTGTCAGTTTATCGCATTTGACAACAAAAAATGAAAGGTTTTAAAGTAACAAATTTATTGAGGTTTCGAAGCGACGAGTGGGCGAAGGAATGTTTGATAGTCGAATAGAGAGCGTGGGTGACGGGTGACGGGTGTCGCAGGTGCTGGGTGCTATATCGCGGTGCGGCGCAGCGACATCGGTGTGTGTGGACCGAGCGGCTGGCGCGGCGCTGGTGCACTTCGAGCAGGCCGCAGCTGCGGGTGCCGCCGTGCGTGAGTTACGGCGTGTGGCCGCAGCCGCGGCAGCCGCTGCTACTGCCGTCAACACCGCGACCACTGAGCCGGATCACCCGCGCCTCTGCGTCGACTACGCCTCCCGAGAGTGTCAGGTACGCCACCTTGCGCTCGATACATTCACCCAACGTTTTCAATGTCACCCGCTCTCGCTGACCTTTCCTTTGTTGTTTTAAAATAAAAAATATTTTCGACTTTGTTGACATAACAATTTGTTTAAAATTGTTTTTTTTTAGAATCTATCGACTAACCGACGATTACTTCTAAACAGACTAATATTAATAGCTCAAAAATCTATTTAGTGGGTAGGCAGGCATGTTAGTTTAATTGTTTTTTATTTTTGTTTAAAATGGTACATCAATTAAAAAATAAAGACCTAGAAGAAATGTTTAATAAAAAAAAAAACAAAAAACGTGGCCTTTACAGCGCCATCGGTGCAGACGTTTAATTTTTTAAAGTATGCTTTTGCTCTACAATTGTGACGACTTGTAATATTGCGAAAACGAGATTCAACAATCCTTTATTTAATTTTCCCGAGCATTTGTTAATATATATGTTGTATTTTCCATACGTGAAATTTTAAATGATACTGTAACGTTTTTATTGCGATACTGTTTCATATGTAATAAGGTTTATACATTTTTTGTTCAGTTATAAATCGGTGAACAACACAGACTTGTGGAAAAGCATTGTTGTCACTGTCAGAGTTGTTTTTACGTCTATTAGTAATGAACTGTAAACCCAAGACTTGTCAAATTTTAATAAAAAAGCAAAAATGTTATGACAACTCGGAAAGTACCTTGTTCTTCAATATAGTGATTAAAGATTGATATAATAATATTTAATCATCGTATTGATTAAGATATATTTTACTTAAATATTTTCATAAGATCTATTTTATGAGCAGGAAATTACTGATTAATTTTGATAATTATTCGCATTAGCTATAGTTTTCATTTGTCCACAAATAATCTAGGATAACATCGTGATTTGCCCGTTAACTATTTAGGTAATTCTTTGCAGGCGAAACGAAACGCTTGCAAATGCTATTAACTGTGTAACTTTCATTTTGTAACGTTTTTTTATAAAATATTATTTATTAATAACTATTAAATTAGTACCTACTTATTCAATATTAATTTGTAGAGAACTGAATCCTTACGACGACAATTTCTTGGGTCACGCTCAGTCAATAACGTCTATATACAAGCATACAATTATTAAGCAGGTGTAGGACTATTTAAATTAAACATGGCTAGTTATCATCGCTGAGAACATAGACCGTTTAAGTAGAGGTACCTAATTGAACTTATAGCTTAAAATTATATTATTTGTCGACCTTCTTTCTTGCCATCCTACTTAACATTACACTAGGATGAGTAATACATATCAATGGGATGTGAAAAACTAATAAATTATGAGAAAAATCAATAGAGATTTTGCTCAATAACTTCTCCATTAAAATAAAAAATAACAAACTACTGAAATAATAGGGAATATGTGCATTTTTATTTTTTTTTCTATATGATAATTTGTATCGTTTTATAATTGTAAATAAATACCCGGCACCGGAAGCTAAAATTTTGTTATAAAAATAAATGATGAAATTAAGTATCAACCACGAGCACTTGCCAGAAATTTTTCCTGAATGTTTTGCAACTAGAGATATAATTAATAATTATTTAATTCTTAAAATAGATTATCAATTAATCGATTTTTTAAATTATAATCGACCTTTTTTCCCTAATCATATAGTTTACCAAATTAGGGAAATAAAAGCCTTAAACGTAATTTTAATTAGAATCTGTTGTTTCTTTTGCGATATTAATTACATTGATGTTCTTGCATCGATGTAAAAATTTTAATAACATTGACTTCCCAAACATGTACATCATATTCGTCACATCTGCTCTGGCAAATAGAATTTCTTTTGAATATATTGAATTGACCACTTTTTTTTAACATTTTAATTATAATTTTCCAGACGAAAACAAAATAACGTTGAAAAATATTTACGTAGACATTACTCGAAAGCAATAATGATGATAATAATTCTTTTTCATTCCTTTTTCGAATTGGACGCATTTTCTTACTAAAATACTAGATGGTGTCACAATGTTCAAAATATTGCTGTCGCAAAACGATAACGTCAAAATGGTAGTGTATAATTTAGCATATTAAAATTTTCTAAGCTTTAATACTCAAGGAAATACAAAAAGTTAAAAATATGACTACCAGTTATCTATCATTAAATCTCAAAGTTCATATTATATTTTATTACATCTGAAATGAAATACGGAGAGCTAAAAATATGACAACAGCTTACCTATAATTAATTCTCAAAATTAATATTAATGACATCTGAAAACACCGGAACGTATTTCAAAGACAAATAAATGTACACTAGGTTTGACACAACTGTTTCAAAGTTAGTAGCGATATCTATTTTGATTACAAGAACTATTTCTTAATATGTCGTTATTGCTTGAAGTGATTGTTATTTTGTAAAAATTACTCTGAAAACGGAATCGTGAGGGCAAGTCACTACTAGATGTTGGTACAATGTGTGCACATACCATTAACGCCATCTGTGCTTCTACGATTCTTTTTATCATTTGAAATCAGTTGAAACTCTAATCAAAGCCATAGATATCAACAACACAATAACCATTTTCGTAAAGCGGACAACGAAAAAATTATGAAATAAACTACTCAAATACCCGGACAAAAACACCGGACTTTCATTAAAACATTTTCATTATATTTAACTCTCTTTGGGGTGAAATTAACAAAAATCCCTTCTTAGCACACCTCTACTAATAAAATGAATATAACCTCCAAAGTTCAGGTATGTTCTACAACCAGCAGTTTAGGCGGTTCGTTATATGTCAGTATACAAAACATACAGTATCTACTAGTACAAGAACATGTAATTACAAGACACATGTAATTGAAAAATAAAAGATTACGTATTTTGCCTTTCATTAAAGGTTAAACCTATACTAATAACATCATTTAATAACAAACCCTATCCTATAAGAACTATTCGAATCCAATTCATCAACGTGGGATTCGATTGCTCATAATAAATATTAGAATAAGGTTTGTTATTGAAGGTACATACGTTTGGATCGTTCATTCGTCCAATTTGTTTTTTACGCGGCATTAAGTTTTTATTTATATGACTAATATTTTATTATGAAAAAAAAAATAACCGCCTCCATAGACGAAAAAGTTTTTACGGAGTCTTTGAGTTTATTCATGTGTTTAGTTATTTGTCCACTAGGAGGCCTTCTACGAGCAGCTCGAGAAGCATGGTGGTACCGGCGCGCTAAACGGTGTCGACCGGCTCACCGGCGACGTAACGACAGCAGCTCGTTATATGTCAACAACTCGTCATGAACAGCTTAGGTATTATTTTGAAACTTTATTACATAAAGAGTTTATTCGAAAAATTGGCATTCATACAATCCATTTAGTACGAAAACAAACAAGGACCAACTGACGCTGAGAAATTGATTATTATTATAATATTGGCCCTTAATGGCCCCTCATTCTGTTAATGTAGCGTAATTATGTCCAAACAAAGTGCTCCAATTTTTGACACAGTTTTCGTCAGTAGGTCACTAGACAACAAGCATATCTGTCACCATTGATTTACAAAAAAGACATTCGATGACCTCTTTAGACGATTGGTTCGCACGCCGGTTTCAAAATGTCGCCACCTATGAAGTCCTGTGGATGGTGGATATGATATTCGCCTCATCTCTTTTTGTGCCACCAGTCATGGGAAAATGCCCGGGCATTTTGGACGAATTGGGTTATTTCCCGATAAGTGCCCATAAATTCCCGCCCATTGGGCATATTTTTAACGAATTTATTTGAAATTAAAAGGACGATCAAGTAATTGACTTAGTTGTGTTTCATTGTTAAACATAAAATAAATATACATTAGGAGTACAAGATACATAATGACACAAATACATAAATCCATACAAATAAAATTCTTTTAATCAATGACTGATTTTCAGCATAAACTTTTAAAATTTTGATCAATGATTTTTAGTCAGTAGTGATATTTGTGGAGAAAACACTCACTAAGAAAGGATTACGGAAATTCAACCCTAGGTGTTTGAATAAGGGTTAAAAATTTGTATGAAAGTATCAGTTTTTTAAAGTTAGAAACAATATTTTCAATTTTAAGACTACAATTAAAAATGAGTAAATACATGTTTAAGCAGTTGTGGAAATTCCATTCTCAAAGGGTTGAAAGTTTACATGGGAGTCTGTCATTTTTGATGTACGAGACGTCAAACTTTTTTTGATTTACTGATTATTAATGGCTATATCACTTCTATCTAACGGTCAAATAGAAGTTTTTCATTCCCTACACAATATTATGTAAAATGTAATTTGGTGTCTAGTAGAAAATAAACAATATATTATAATCTAAATAATATGTTTTATTTCACACACAGCAACATTGGTGTCGGTGTAAAAATAAGCCTTAAAATAAATAAATACGTAACCCGTCGTTATTAAAAATAATAGGAATTTTCAATCAGTAGCTCTGACATGAAGTTTCATGTTTCTAATTTCCAAAACGACGGACTCCCATACAAAATATTACCTACCCTATGATGCTAGAAAGTATATGACAGTATATCGAAGTATTTATGTTAAACTGGTGTTGTTTTTGTTAGGTACGACAGCTGTGGGTCGCGGTCGCGAGCATCGAGTTACAGCAGAGCTTCCTCTCGGACGCCTCGTTATCCTGCTCTCGATCCTTATGAAGGGGCTGATTACAATGCGGAACGGAGGTACAGGTATGGTGTATGCCGTAAGAACGGCTTTCTGATTAGAGCACGACAGAGCATTATTAATTTTTTATATTGTATGACTCACAGGGTTTACGAAGAATTGGGATCCAGCCCGCAGGCAGAAGACACTCCTTTCGAGGATCGGTTACAATCGGTCGTCGTTTCTCCTCATCGTGCTAGGCGTCATCGACGCGACTCTAGTCCCGAGGATCGTAAACATTCAAAGGTATAGTTGACGTAACAGTTTTTTGGTCGTTGAGGCACTGAATCCGAATGTTGAGGTCCGACACCAAGTGGAGGGTCATAGTTAAACTACACAAGTTTGTTTAAACTACACAATTGTGCTGTTTTAAAGGTTTTATCCAAGTTGCCATTTAGACATTCAACTACATCTTATTATTAAGTTAGTAGTAATCTATACTTTCGAAGTATATAAAATATTTTAAATTACACTTACGCCTAAAAACATTCCTATCCTAATAAAGATTGGACAGTATCATGGCTATTTTCATTTTTAAGGCCGATGGTTAGAATAGGGATATAGTATCATAAAAAATACAACTTGATTTGTGATGTCACCATCAATATTTAAACCCATTTATATACCCGTTATACAACTTGTTTCTTATTTTTTGGCAGTCGTGTTTTTGAATTTTTAAGTTGTTAAGATTAAGTAGTAATAATATAATTTCAGAGTGATTGCAGTATGTTTATTATCGATTAATAGACTTTTATGTCTTTCATAACACTTATTTTAACATTGTTTAATAGGAACGTCATCGAAGCGTCGGTGGAAGCTCTGTAGTAGAATGCGCAGGGGCAGCGCGCCGATCGAGGTCTGGATCGCGGGGAGGCGAAAGACATACGGGGCGCAGGCGGCACCGGCGACGGCGTGACGGCTCTGGATCTCGTGCTGGAACGCCGCTACGAGATGAGCCTGATGCGCCGCCTACTGAACCTCGTCGCCCGCCACGCGAGCGCCCACCCCTTCCTATGAGCCTTCCATTACCTAAGTTTGCCGTACAGCTGCTACGACAAGCGCCACAAACGCCTCGCCCTACACCTGCACCGGCGCCGGCCCCCGACTCACCGCCGCGCCCACCCTCCGTCTCCTCATCTAGCGGTGGTTCCGCGCCGCACTCGCCGTCCCTTGAGGAGCGAATCCGAAGCCTCGACGAGAAATATGAGAGATGGAGCGGTGGATCCCGGATTCCACCGCCGGATCCCCCTCGCCCAAAACATCGGCTTCTCGACGTGGATATCAACGAGGTGAAACCCTCCGAAGTTGTAAGATCATTGCTAGCCAAACGATCCGTATTTGATGAGGATTCAGAGCGTCTGGAGAGTGTGGTACGTGCTCCGAGCCCGGTTGGAAGTCCTCGTGCACGCGTTACGCCCCTTACGCCGCGTGTTCTCCGCTACCCGTTTCCCGCGCATCCAGCGTCGCTTATTCAGTCGCCGGCAACCGTGCCTTCGCTGCAGCCCGATGGCGAAGTGGATATGGGCGATCGCTTCAATGATCCGCGTCTCAATCGGGGTGCCTTTTCTGTTGATAGATGTGCGAAGTTTGATGAGATAGATTTCAGACATGAGTCGCGTATTCGTCCGAGGACGCCTTCAACAGACCGATCGCAATCTGATTTGAACGAAAGAAGATCACCGAAGATCGAAGCGGAAACTGAATCTGAACCAAGAACACCAAACGAGAGAAGAAGACGAGATTCTCTCTATGGAAACAGTAAAATTTCTACAGAGCCAGCCGCCGAGACTGAAACTGGACCCTCTCGTTTGGAGTTGATTGAATTTGACTATCGTGCTAGAGATAAGAGTAAAACGTTAATTTCAGAGCGACGTCAATCTATTGGGAGGGGTCAAGAGTTGACTGCAGATAAGACTGTACCCAGTTCTTCCGATCGAAAAGATGTTTTTCCCCACGATGACGATAAACGAAGTGAAATAATGAAAGCTAACCGCAATGAAGACAAAACTGTACGTGACAGCGCGGATTCTTTTTTGAAGCGTATCGGGAATATGCATGAAATGATTAAATCAGAATGTTCGATAGACAGAAAAAGTAAATCGAATGATGAATATGGAATTAAATCTGAATTACCCGCTCACATTGATGAAGAAATCAAGTCTACTTTGGACATCGAAATAAAACTAGAAAATGTTAGTTCCCAGTCTATAAATGATTCTGAAAAGGTAAAAGAATTATTTAACCCTAATCACGTAAAAAAAGAAGTAAAGGAAATAGAACCTCAGTCCAATCATATTAATTCTTATGCTTTAGTCAAATCGACTAAGGAAATTATGGATATTAGTCAAGAATTAATAAAAAATAATGAGAAGAATGGAAAAGAAAGATTTAATCAAAATGCAATGCTTAATGTGTTACATAATACAAAGTTCGAAAAAGAAAATATTGAATATGAAAAATGTTTTGAAAAAGAACTAAGTAATAGTCATTTTTTAGAGGATAGAAAGATTCTAGAAAAGAACAAAATGGGTGAAGATCGTACAAAAAGCGATAAATTACGCCCCATAAAAGATCGCACTGACAAAGAAAAATACGAAAGTGAAAAAGAAAAGGTAAGGAGTAATAAACATGACAGAGTTGTAGAAAAAGATCGAAAAGTCAGGGATGATCACAATAATGACAAAGTCTATATTGAAAAAACTGACAAGAACAACAAAGAGAGTGAAAAATGTAATAAAGAGAGGTGCGATCGTGACTCTGACAAATTAAAATATACAGATGAGAAATCAATCCGGCACGATCATCATAGAAGAGAAAAAATTGATAAAAGGAAGGATTCTACTGATGGAGATTTAAAAGCGAAGAAAGAAGAAAAATCGAAACACGATAGAAAGAAAGACCCCAGTGATATAAAGCGTGAATTAAAAAAAGATGGTGAATCTTCAAAGTCTAGAAAGTCTTCCAGAGATGAATCCTCAAGAGATATATGCCGAAAAGATTCAACTGATTCAACGACTTCTAGAGCTTCTCATGAATCCATTAAATCCAAGGACACTGACACTAATGACATAAAAGATGAAACCAAACCAAAGGTCAAACATTACATTGAAGTGAGTTGCAAACAAGAAAATGATAAAGATTCATCAACGAAGTGCCTAGAAACTATGAAGGTAGAACCTCATATGAAAAATAAAACAGAAATTAAGGGTGATAAAGATGTTATTGAACATATCAAAATAAAAAGTGACGGTAATTCTGAACATCAAATAAAAATAAAAGATATTGAAAAACAGAGACATTATTCACTTGATTCACCAAGCATAGAATCCAAAAGAAAAGAACGTCTTAACTCTTGTTCGAGCTTACCTTCTCACATAGGACACAAAAGAAGAATGTCTTCACAAGACAGCATTGATTCATTAAATGATGAAATAAAAAAACTGAAAAATGAAGGCAAAAATATCGATCGCAAAGATTCAAGAAATAATGAAAGGCATAAAACTACCAAGTTTAATAAAGACCATTTTGCTAAACTCCTAGAAAGCAAAACTAAAGACGATAAGAAAAATCAGGTTAAACCACCTGATGATACTTTTGAAACAAAAGATTCGAAATTATGTACACCTATACAGTATGAAAAGCAAAAACTTCATAGTAAAAGTTCCTCAACTGAAAATGAAGAAAAATCGCACCACTCTAATTGCACCGAATCACAGAATGACAGCTTACAAAATGACATAGATTTTTTGGCAACATTAGAGCTTAGGTCGAGTGAAGAAGACGAACGGCAAAAAGCTTTAAGAAAAGAAATGAAAGAGAAGAAACGAATCCAACAATTGCAACAAATTCACGAATTACAATTGCAGCAAGACGCTTTACAACAAGCAGAATTGTTAAATAAAGTAAAAGATGATAAAAAAATTAAAACCGTTGATGAAAAGAAAAAAGAAGCAGCGCGTGACAAACGTTTGTCTACCGATCGCAAAAGCAGAGACGAAAAAGTTGATGTTAATAAACGGAAAAATAGAAAACATGTTCAAAGCAGTGACACATCTGATTCAGATGAACCTAAAAAACATTCTATTTTTGATATTATCGATGATGGACCTACTTATATATCAATGTATGATAAAGTCAAAGCACGATCTTGTAAAAACATGCAGAAACAAGAAGAGGAAAAACGTCAGGAAAAAATTAAAGCAAAGTTTAGTCAGTTAAAACAAAGCAGAGCTAAAAGAGAAGAGAAGAAAAGATCTAGTTGGGATGAAGATAGTGACTCTGATCACGATCGGAAGAAAGGTCAAAAAGCGTCAATGGACAGTTCTACTGATGAGGAAGCTACAATGTTGTATAATAAAAAACGTGAAAAGGACTTGTCAAGTCCTGACTATGATCGAAGTAAGGCAAATGAATATTTTAACGTTTCCACAAATGAAGAAGATTTACGTAATAAATTGTCAAGAAAAAATTCAAGAACACGAATAATGTCTGATACATCTGATGATGATACTGCAAAACGGAGTGTTAGCAAGAGCCCTAGCTTTATAAATGATAATAAAAAGGAGTTAGAGTTAATGAGTTCAGGATCTTTAAATAAAAGTAAAGATGATGCATCACATAGCATACAATCGTGCGAAGATAAAATAAAAAAGAATTCATTATTGAACTTATTCGGAAAGAGTGATAGTGATGACAGCAAATTAAAATTTAGTTTGGAAGTTGATAATGAATATAAATCCATATTCAGTAAAACTGCCTCGCATGATTTCTCTTCAGAAAGCGAGTCTACATTATGTAATCGAAATTCATCTGAGATTCGTAAAAAACATAAGAAAAAGCAAAAGAAACATAAAACTTCAATATCAGATGGGGAAAACAAAATTGAAAATGAAACCGATGGACATGATGGAGATATAAGACATAAAATTTCTGAAAGAGTTCGTCGTCATAGTAATAAAAAGGATAAACGAAAGGATAAAATGCGTGATAGTGTAGATACAGATGAAGTTCGTGAAGAAAAAAATAGATTAAAAAGAGACAAGAAACTGACAATGTCTTCGTTTGATGTAGGTTCTGATAACATTTCTAAAAAGGACGGCAAAATGGAAGACATATTTGGACCCCTTTCGGATGAATCAGATAAAGACAATAGAATCCCTATGATAGGCAAAAATGAATTTCATCAAGGTTACGAGCCACCACTTGTCATAAATGAACAAATTAATAGTGTTGATAGCAAAATTAAAGACAAAGATGAATTAAAGCGCAGAAAGGAGAAAAGACGGAAAGAAAGGAGGCTTCTTATTAAAGACGACGAAAATAGCATAGACGTAGATGCTGTTAGCAAAGCCATTGAAGCACGCTTATTTGCTGAATCAATTACTGATGACGACAATCGTACAGGAATTGAAGTGTTACCAGAATATATAAAGAAAATGGAGCAACATGAAATAGAACGTGTTGAAGATACTTTACTTACTGAAAAACACGGTAATAGAGTGAAAAAAGATTGCAGAGAGAAAAGAAAGAAAAAGAAGAAAAATAGAGAAGATCGTTTAAATCGCAGAGATCATCATCATTTTTACCATCACAATAGATTGAATAAACCTGATTCTCCAATTGAAGTACCGATTATCGAAATATCCTCAAAGGAATTGTTGTTAGACATACCGTTGCCGAGTGATACTCCAGCAATAAGTGTAACAGACAAAATCGATGACAATAAATCACCATCTGAATCACCCAGCTTACCCAGATTGATAGATAGTCCACCGACGAAGATACAACAAATTCTAGATGTTGAAAAGTCCAATAAGGATTCTTTAGACGTGAGCATGGAAAATGATTTTCCTGAAACAAAACGTGTAGAAGTAGATGATATTCCAATGCCACCACCTATTGAGAGTATTGATATTAGTGAAGTGCCGCTACCGGAAGATCCTCCTGATGAGTCCTCAACAAAAAGAGATCATTTTGTGTCGAAATTTAATGACGGTGTTGAAAATAGTGAAAGTGCTGTTCGTAGTATACCCAATTTATCGTTGGAAAATGAAAAACAAAATGAAAAGCTTGAATCGTCGCTAACATCTAAAGTTGATAAAAAAGTGGAAGAAAAGCCGCGAGCAATTATATCTCAAGAAGAAACTGAAGATGCCGTAGCAGCACTTTTAGGAGAAAGCTTTGGTGGAAAAATAGCATACACGGATTACGAACAGATTCAAAATAATTCCACACATCAAACTGAAATTGAAAGTGTTACGACAGAAACTGACAATATTCCTGAAGAAGATGCGGAAGAAATGAGACGCGCAGTGCAAAACTTGAATGCAAGTGAATTAGAAATCAAACCAGACACCCCAATCTCTGACAACGATCTTTTACTTATAGATACTGACACAGAGGAAGCCGAAGAAACCCCGCAAGACACTTTGGATAGATTACCTGCAAATATTATCACATCTAATCAGTCCACAACTGTATGTACTGAACAGTCGAAATCGGCTGATATATCCAACATGGTAATTACCAAACCTAAAACTACGATAGTTCAAGTTATAACTACTGATGCTAACGAAACAATTTTAAAAGTTAACGACCAAGACTCTAAATTATCTCATATTCAACGAGAAAATGTTCAAGTTGTAACTACTACTACCACTACCACTACCACGACACCAGTTATTACATCATGGACTCTATCAAATAATAAGATTATTGAGCCTCATGTAGTTAATATACAAACAAGCTCTTTGTTGGGTAGAGATAAAAATGAGAGTAAACATACTCACATCACCGCTAATATAGTTCAAATAAAACCCCAAAGTCAAAATGCCACAGGGAGTAATAATCTAAGGCCCATCATTAATCCTAACAGGGTTAGTACACCATATCAAGTAATAAATCATATGATTCGACCTCAATCTCCGAATATGCAACCACCGACGATAAAAATTCCTGAACCACATATCCTGTATCAAAAATCATCTGGCATCGTAATATCGCCAAGGATGCAGACTAATGACCCTATACTTCAAAGTCCTAAACCAATATCACAGGGAGAATCAACTACTTCTCCTAGGTTATCAAATATGACTATCCTGAGTACATCACCTCAAAATTTGAATTCAGTTGGATTAGCATCTCCTACTGCATTACAACAAAGATCACCAGGTCAAGTGACTGTGGTAAGGATGCAGCAACCACCATTGAGTCCTATTCAAGCTATGCATCTTCCACACGGTGCGAGAACAATGGTATCGCCAAATATACCTAATTCCGTTTTAGTACAAACGCAGGGTGCGCCAATTCATTTTAATCGTCTGCCAGTAACGCCTGTTCTGGCGCCGATTTCGAAGCAATTAACTGTTAATAATGTAATTCATCCCAGTAAAGCACTTGCCGTGAATGCTTCACCTACAATACCACAAAAGTCATTACCTGGAGAAATTCGTAAATGTGATCAAAGAGCGGGCATAACTATTGACAACAGTAATGAAAATCCAAAAATCATGTCATCTTCTACAAGTTTGCCTCAGACTTCAAATCCAGCTATTGTAGCACAGAATCGCATAATAACCATGCAACATGCTGTACACGTGGGAAATGTAAATTCTACACTCCATCTTGGCAATAAAGTATTGTTAAATAATCTTAATCAGCTTAATGAGAAAAGAGAGAACCAAATTCAAAAATCTGAACAGTTAAATCATGTACCATTTGGAACTACTAATATAATACATGTAGCAGGAGTTAATCCATCATCGACATCTATTATCCAAAGTGGGAATAAACCGGTAATACTTCAAGAAACAAATGCTGTAAGAAGTCAAAATTCTAATATTATACATACCCTAAACTCTCAAAGGTTATTGACAACTGCACCAGTTTCTAATGTTATCCAAATTGATAAAACTCCTCCATCTGTCTTATCCATGGCGACAATGAGACCACCAACTGTTCTTACCAAACTTGATCCTTCAAAATCGGTGGTTGTAACTACAACTTGTCTTACAAATGTTGTCATGACTCCAGTTTTATTGAAAACAAGTGCAACTCCTGGTACTATCATACTTAGTAAAAATGACAAAGATACCACAGACGATACTATAGACCCTAATCACATCTCTAAAGAAACAGAAAACAAACTAGATGAGAAACCTGACAACAATGTGTCTGATTTTCTTCACGATACGAATGAAAAATCTAAATCTTTTAAAATTGCTTCTGTTGAAACAATAGCCAAATGTGAGACGGATTTTGAAGAATTGCTTAAAGATACTACTAATGAAATCAAAATTACTAATGATCCTGATAAAAAATTGGAGGTTAATGTGGGAAAAAAAATTACATTAATGAATGTACAGAGCCGAGAAAGGAAATTAAGTTCTGATGGATTAAAAAATGAAGATTTTGATAAACTTAGCACGGTTTCTGCACAATCTGTTTCAGATATCTCCTCGCATAACGATGAACAAAATAAAACTAGGAACAATCAATTTGATAAAGAAAACAGAGAAAATTCTATTGGAAATGAAAAAATAAGTGATACTTTATCAGAAGTCAAACCAAGTATTCAAGTGTCTAAAGAGGAAGCAAATAAAGACTCTTTAATTTTCAATGTATCCAATGAAGATGAAACAGAATTTGGGAAACCCATCACAACTCGGGAGGATAATATTTTTGCTTTAGTAGTCAATGAGTGCAGTGATAATCCATTAAAGAATTTGGATGAAAATGATTCATGGAGTGCAAAAGATATAAATATAGACTCTGTTATAAAAAAAGTTGACTCATTATGTAGTGATAGCAATGAAGCAACTGAGAAAAATGAGGATAATATCGAGAATGAAGTAAGTAATACAGAAAATTTCATCGAGTCGAATCCACCCCCTAATCAACTTTCTACTCCCGACTCTGCTAAGTCCACAGAAATAGAAAAAGACACTCCTTTGGAAACCGGTACCGTTGAAGATAATTCTGGTTCTTTAAAAGTTACACAAACGGGGAAAAGAGGTGGAAGAAGTGTTAGAGGCAAAAAGTCCGAGAAGGTAGATAGAGTTCAAACTCGTCAAATTTCTAAACCAGCAAGAGGTGCATCATCAGCCAAGCGTGGAAGGGGAAGAGCGAAAGCAGATAAGAAAGTTAAAAATGTAATTAATACTAATTCCAATAACATTCCTGGAGACGTGTATGATTTTCATGAAGATTCAGGAGATGAGACAACTTCGCCAAATAAAGCTGAATCTCGTCCAAGATTAATATTAACGATAAAAAGTCCTCTTTCTGGACACAATAACGCTTGTCCAACCTCAACTCTGAGCATAACACAAAATGAGCATTTGAAAAGTATTGAAAAGACTGGAAGAGAAGAAAAAGCTGAGGATTTTATATCTCCTTCTCTCAATACGCGTAAGTCAAGAAGACTGCAAGAAAAGGATGTTCAAAAGACCAGTATTGACGATAATCTCGATGAATTCTCGAGAAGTGCTGCTATGAAATCCGGGAAAAGAAGAACGACTCGACAGGGGGCTCCTAAATCTAATCAAGCGACAGGATCCGATTCCAGAAAGTCGCCAAGGGGTTTAAAGCGCACTACCAGGGATAGAAGTCTTTCGGATACTTCGATGGACAGTGGCGACGAAAAGATTGTACGTCGGGACGAAGTCAGCAAAGAACCGAAAACGCCCAGATTATCAGAACTCCCTATTAACAACACAAAGTCGGATCCTGAATCAGCATCGACTTCGATGGCGCGGCCTAGTCTGCCAGCAGTCATCCAACCCGTTGTTCAAAGTGTCGTAACTCCCACCGTCGTCCAACCTGCGGTCACTCAACCGTTAATAGTTCATTCTGTCGTCACTCAGTCGACACCCACGCCAATTATGAAGCCACCGAAGAAAATGATATCGGAAATAAGCGCCAAGCTAGCCGGCGCGTTTGAAGCTGCAGTGGTGTCGTCTGTTCGCGTACCCATTCCTTGTGTGACACAGCAGCCCCCGGTGGCGCAGCGAGTGCAGGTGGCAGAAACCGCAACAGAGAAGTTGCCGATGCGCGAGGCCGTTATTGAACCACCTTTGGGCGACTACCGTGTGGTGACGGAGCCACACGGTGACGCGTTAGCGAGGCGGCTAGTGGACAACGTGCCAGGGAGTATGATGCCTGTTGGCGCCACTGAGGCGACAGATGCCAGAGTGCAATCGCCTGCCTTGCCTCACCGCCCTCCCTCCACGCATCGACCTGCCGACCGTGCTACTCCGATTTTGATAAGGTTTCGTATATTTTTTTATAGCTCTCATTTGAAAAACATGTTTTTTCAATAATATTGTAAGGCGATGCGGGAAAGTGTGTGTGATCTTACTCTCTGTAGGTGAGATAGGTATTATATTATAGTTAGACAATATCATGTACATTAGATCCTAAATGCAGTAACTTTATCACTTGCGAACCACTCAGCCACCGAGGTCGTCGAGGAGATAGAAGATAACTGGTTCTGATTTTATCCAATGCCTAAATTACCTATTAATACGTTTTGCAATAATTATATTACTATACCATACCAATATAGATACATGAATTCATACGAGATTCTCACTTAACTCGAGATATTTTTGTTAGTTTGTTTCTGCACTAGATGGATGTATGTAGACAAGAGCATGTTTAGACTCGCGGTTTTGTTGACACATTCTTCCGATATTTAAATGGCGCCATACTTATAGCAGATATTTAAAAAAAATATTTAGTCTGTTTTATAAAAGTGACGTTTTTTTACGTTACGTTAGATTAGTTAAAAAACTGAACTATTTTTTTTTGAAATTACCTTTTGAACTTTACATTGGTTCTTGTGTCTGAAATATTAAAAATTGCACAGGATGTATTTTTGTTGTATGGATTCGTGTATCTATACTAGTATGAAGAATATATATGATAGGTGTTTGTATTATACAGGGGCGGCGAGGGTGAAGGCGTGGTCGGTGCGGGCGGGGTAGGCGTGGGTGCGGGCGTGGGCGTGGGCGTGTGCGCGGGTGGATCACGGTTCCGCGGCGCGTACGCGGGGCCCGCCAGCTTACCGCGTGGCGCTCACCTCCCGCATCACCATCCTCAAGTCAAACAGGTCGCTGTCGTCGGTCCCCACCACCATCCAGGTTTGTACTACGTTGACAAGATTTTAAATAGAGATGCGCTGAATATTCGTTTGGTATTAGGCATTTTTTCAATATTTGTATTCGGTTGAATTATTCGGTTTTGGTGACGAATATATTCGGTTTGAGTATTCCTATTTTCTTGACATGATATTGTAAAAGACAAAACTTCTTATGTAAGTTATATTATAAGTCAAATTAATCCTATGTCAAATTAGTCAAATTAATTAAACTTAAAATCAACATTTGTTTTTAAACCTTTTTACGTGGCAAATATTCCGCTGAATATCTGGTTCCGTAAAAGTTTAACCGAATAATATTCGGTATTCTTTTAGTTGGTGCAATTACTATTTTAGTTTAAAATATTCTTAAATTAAATCGCCTTATTGTACGCAGATTTATATTATTCAACATTTTTAACCTACCAAGTGTTTGACTGATAAGAAAGACGGGCGCAAGAAATTCTAAATATAAAGATCATATAATTATTTATCAAATTATACCAATATCCATTTAGACTGAATAGGCTAGTGTCTAAACCATGATGGAAATATTAAGAGGAGACGCTGTAACATTTTTGTCTATGCAGCAACGCATGATAGTACACGCGGCTTTTAGGACATTACACTCCGCTTACTTCTGTAGTAACTATCTAGACATCAGTAGCATAATCAGTGACTGATTGCATTGATTTTGCTACTGAATGACTGCATATGTAGTCGGGACTACCGACTTAACGGTCTTTCCGAAGTGCGGAGGAGTTCAAGATATACATTTTTGATCATCCATCGCATCATCCGCAATTGCGAAAGTTGGTTAACTTTTGCATCGCAGACCAAATGCGCTAACCGCTTCGCCGTCGAGCTATTAATTTCTTAGTTGTTAAAATTATTAAATGTAATTTATCAATGGATCTTATTTTAATAGGAGCTGCTTCCCGTGTAACTCTTACGAGTGTGCCAGCTATTAGTCCACAAGGGCAGATGGGATTGGTGAGTGCTCCTTATGTAAATTTGCATGTAGTTATTAAATTCAATGTAGCCGCTTTCACTATAATTATCATAATTCTGTCCATGCTAACCGGGACTCAGTCGACGGATTTAGTTAGAAGCCCGCCGCCGGCACACCAACAGACCTCTCCAGTAGCCTCGGTATATCAAATAGTTAATAAATATCGTGCACTGATCTGTTCGACTATAATACGTTTTTAACATTTATATGGGAATGAATGAAAAATAAGTCTTAACGTTTTTGTGATTACAGGGCGACGGAATGTATCCTCATTTCTCACATCAACATTATCAGGTTTATCAACAACACTTCCGTGCTACTCAACATGAAAACAGGGCTTCTCCTTCTCCCTACACCAGGTACTATTAGATTTTATTTTACTCCTGAAGAATATATTAGAATATATCAATTACATGTTTTAAATATTTGCATACTATAACCAAATTGATCTGACATTTAACTTCAGTAATAAATACATACATATATAATATATAGTCCATGGAGGTAACAATGTATGTATTAGTCTAAATGAGATGTAATCCATAACATTACGTAAAATGTATATGTAGTTCAATCTTACTATCAAAAAATGTCATCACACTTTTAAACGCACCCAGTTCGGTTAGGTAACATCTACAACATCAACTATCACAGCATATCTAGTTAAAAGAAATGAGTAAATAGGTACTGAAAATTAATTGGCGCAGTGTGTGCAAGATAATAAATATGCTGATACATGATTACATGATATAGAGTACATTTACTCTATTTTAGAGTATGGCTGGCAACCCTAACTAGCCTAAATAAATAATAAGTAAGTCTGAAGATAATGTATGTGTTATTGTATAGGAGCTTAGAAGCAGAGGGGTGTGAGGCGCCGGCGCCGCCATTAGAACTTAGAAGACCTGCATCTGCGCGTGTGCCGCGCCCCGCCCACTCGCCCGCACCCGCTGATAGACTTATCAGTAAGTATTATTCACATATGTACCACTATTATTATTATTTAATTTACACAATAATAAGTAACAACTACAAGCAGTTTAAACGCCGGAATTTTTGGTGCACTTGTGACGTCAAAGTACACGACTAGAGATATGACATTTTAAATCAATATGGATTTTGAGTGATTGATTATTAACAGCTAATCGATTTTTGTAATAGTATAATAGATTTTTTCTATAATCATACAGTTTACCAAATTGGTGCCATAAAAAATAAAACCTCAAACCAAAACATCATTTAAAATGTAATCGGTTGTTTATTTTGCGACATAATACATATGATATTGTATCGATGTTAAGTTTTTGTAACGACGACATTCCCATATGTGTACATTTTCGTCACATCCACTCTGAAAAGTAGAATAGCGTTTGAATATTTTGAAGTTCAGCATTTTTTAATAATTATTTTCAAGGTGAAGACAAACTAATGTTGAAAATATTTATATAGACTATTCTAAATCAATAATAATTACAACAAAATATGTTTAACACTTTTTTGTTAACTTGTGCACAGACAAATTACGCCTATGCTATTCATACAAATGGTAGTGTCGTACTGTGTGGTGTGTGACCCATGTGTTTGTGTGGTACAGTGTACGCGGTGGGATGCGGTCGATCGCCGCCGCCTGCGCACGGCACGTCTCGCCTGCCGGCCGCGCTGCCGCCGCTAGCAGCGCCCGGACCACCGCACGCGTCACAGGTGCCGCGCGAGGCTGACTCGCTACTGATGTTGCTCAGGGTGACTATATATCTATACTTGCAATATAATCTACTATTATCCCATGTACAAGGGTTGAACTGAACAAGTTTATTTTTTTATCTATCCCCACTACGAAGTAATAGGCAGAAAATACTGTTTACCGATTGGGAATATTGTATTTCAGCTGCCAACATTTTTACCAGAAGTATTGTAGGTAGATTTTATGTTATCTTATTATTTTAAAATTAGTCTTAAAGAAAGATGCTTAAAAAATCCACTTTGTCCCTGGCACCATAAGATGTGACTCGAACCCATGACCTTTCGCGATAATTTTTTTAAGAATTTTTCATCAAGAATATTTTTCAGTATATCATTGTGAATGCAAAATTGATCAAATATTTTAATTATCTTAAACTTAAAACTTATATTTTATCTTGGGGAATATACATTTTAATTACCCTTTATTAAGAGGATTCTGATTGTATTATTATTTGCGTTAGCGATACCCGGTGATGTGGCAAGGGCTGTTGGCGCTGAAGAACGACTCTGCAGCGGTCCAGATGCACTTCGTGGGCGGCAACCACGCTGTGGCGGGGGACACGCTGCCTCGTCTCGCCGACGGCTCCGCGCCTCTGCTACGGATCGCCCAGCGAATGCGACTAGAGCCCGCGCAGCTGGACCAAGTGCACCGCAAGATGAAGGTCAGAAAACAAATTTTTGATTATGCGGACTTTTGTAATCAAATAATAATATTATATGCCAGATCACATAACATACATTGTTAACAACCCAATAGGGTAGTTTCGGTAGTGAAAAACAAGTACCGAAATTGCACAAAAACTTGAATTAACAACTTTTTAAAAATAGAGATTCTGATTCTGAGTCTTAAAATAGCAACACCTTATAAGTATTTTGCACAATTTCTCTTTTTTTTTGTCACTGAGCAGTTAACCACCCTATTTATGGTGATATGTCTTCAATAATCGAGCTTGGGCTTTCTTAATCAAAGTAAACTTTTAGATCGACCTCATAAAATGAAGTGAGATAGGTAACCGAAATATATTAAATGTTTTTAGATGGAAAACGAACACTGTATGCTGTTGGCATTGCCATGTGGACGCGACCACATGGACGTGTTGCAGCAGTCCACCAACCTGACGGCCGGCTTCATCACATACCTGCAGCGGAAACAGGCTGCCGGCATCGTCAACATCGCCCCACCCGGACATCAACAGGTATTCTGAGAATCACTCGTGTTTTGAACGAATCATTATAACCATATTTTATCGGCACTTTATTTTTATGCATATTTACATCCAAAAGTTGTTTTTATTTGCAAAGTAAGTGAATTTTTAAGCATCTCTTGAAAAAAGGAATAAATATAAGTTTTCATATTATAATTTGTATTAAAAGAAAATCGGTTAACCCACTTTATAACTGTGTATTTGTCCTCAGGCCGTGTACACCGTGCACATATTCCCGTCAT